TTCTTTTTTTTGTTACTTCCTTCCTTCTTTTTGCCGGCCGAGTCTTGCTGAGAATATGGTTTCTTCTGGCCCTTGGCCTGCTCCTCTACTTTTGTTAGAGAACAGAAATCAGCTACCTTAATATATGATTTGGCCTAACGCAGAACGCTTGCGTATGTCCAAATCTTTTTTCTGATAAAGTCAAACTTGAAACCATTATGCCTTAATCCTCGAAGAAGCTTCGAGTAGGCCATTTCATCCGGAAGGTTTTGAATTTGTGGCTTCTTCATGTTACCTTTGAATGTACGAACATAACCCCTCTTTCTTCCCTTGGACGATGGTCGCCAAGTTAAGACTAGTCTTCCGGGGTGGTATATTGTTGGAGAAGTTTCCAACGAACAACAAGCTGAGAGTTGTAAAACAATTTATGCGTCCGGCCGACAGACTGTTGAACCAGTCTTGAGCCACACCCTTAAGGGTGATTGGGAAGCGTTTGCACCAATTGGCATCGTCCAAATTTTGCAAGTACACCGTATTTCTGTACGAGGAGATATGCTCTTCAGGGTTGCCCGTACCATCATAGGCACCCACAAGTATACTTTTCAAACTTAACTAGATAGGGAGAGTTGAGAATTTCTTAAGAAAACGGAGGTGGCTTGTCACCAAGAGTCAACAAGCACATTTGCCAATCAATAGGCTGAGGTTGTGCGACCGGTCTGATCAGGTAAGCTGCTTGATTGTACGGTTAGCCGTATTGGTCGTACTTCCCGTTATAGGGCATTTAAAACTAAGCTGGTTGAGATAAAGGAACTGGAGTCAGAGTACAATGAGCTTGACTTCTGCTGGTCCTGGCCGAGCTGGTATGGTTTGACATTTCATCCGAGCTGGTATGGAAGCAATTTCCGAGTAGTAGCACTATGCCTGCTTGTGCTGAAGGTAGTCTCTAGCATCCTTGAAGCGCTGGGACGACTCGTTTGGCTGCCTTAGAGGCGGCCTTATCTGCCCCCCAGCCGATTTCTATTTCTCAAGTAGCCTCGACCTATTCGTCCGAGGCACCCTAGGGGACCTCGGATACCTCCTGAACGGAATGACACCTGCGTCTTCAGTATTGGCCGCCTGGGCATGGGGCTTCTTTTTTGTACTCTCTCCTTCTTTCCTAGGTGGATGCCTAGAAGAAGAGGGTATCCTGCCCTCAAACTCCTTTCGGAGCTTGGCCAAAGCAACCTGCAAGGAGCCGGCCGTTACAGGAGGATCATCGACCTCATGGAACAAGGCGGTCAGAGGATCATTTTTGTTAATGTTGACTTCAATATTTTCTACATGGTTGTCGTGACTAGGACCGGGTGTCTGACTGTCTTTAGCCATTTCAAACGTGTATCCCCACAAATGGCGCCAAATGTTTTGGGGTTTTTTGGAATCCCTCGGGATATAGGTTGTGAATATAGCCGGACAGCCGCGAACACTAGCAAAAACAACAAATATTCCGTTTAACGGAATATTCTCCTTCGACGATCAAGTTAGTGATCGGAAAATGAAAGTATTTTAGAGAAAGAAAGTAGAGAGAAGTTAGAGCGATTTAATATACCTTGAATGATATGACTCTATCCACCCCTCCCATCATAAATGATTGTGGTATTTATAGGGGTTAGAATGTGTGCACTCTAGGGTTGGTGCCCTAAAAAGGATTGATCTAATTGGCGGCGCAATCAGGTAGGACACGTGTCATTTGGGGGCGTCGTTATGGTGCCTTTCTCGAGATTTGGGCTTCTGATGTAAAGAGGCCCTCTATCTTTCAGGTGCTCCTTTGTTTTGCCACGTATCGTCTTCCTATCGGGACATGTGTCACCCTTTTATTGGGTCATGTGTCACTATAGGATTGGACCATGTGATGGGGTATTTTTACCCTAAACATGTTGGGGTGAAGGTGGAGGTGGTGGTGGTGGTGGGGGGAGGGGGTGGGTCTTTTTTACAAAAAAAAAATATTTTAATTGTTAAAAAATTAATCACAATTATAGTTTTGATTAGAGGTTAATTAAGTTGTTATACGATTTTATCAACGGTCATCTAGGTTGTAGGTAAAATATCTTGTTCAAAGAGGATACCCTTTAAAGGTTTTATTATTCAAAAATAATCAAAAGATTGACTTGTTTTTGGTAGACCGCTCAAAGGTTATATTATTTGTGACAATTTTTCCAAACTCAAAAGAAAGAGGAGATGAAAGGAATTAAATAAGTTTAATCAGGGTATTAGTATCAAAGAGTACAACCATTAAGAAAAAATTTCCGAAACAAGCAAAATATTTTGGACACCTTTATAAGGAATACAGGCACGCATTTAAGAGACGGAGGGAGTATTTTACTTTAAAGAAAGATACTAATAATGATGCGGGAGCGTCCTTGAAACCTACGGGTTATATGGCTATATGACTCGTTTAGTGGAATTTATGGCTCCAATCTACTTTTTGGATATATTCCTTATTTTATAACGTGACCTAAGTGAATAAAAGTGATCCTTGCGTCTTAATTTTACAATTTATGGTTGAAGATGAAGCATGGGAACATGGATAAGAAAGAAAAACTTTTACTTGATAAAAAATGCAATACTCAAATTCAATCAGCCATATCTTCTTCGTTACAAGGAATTTTCAGGTGATTCAAATTGGAAATGAAATTATAGTCCAAGAGCTTTCTAAGGACGGGTCATATGCCCAATTTGAGCAAGAAATGACGAAGTTATGAGCGTTTGAAATTGAGTTGTCCAAGCAGAACCGCTGGAGCGACCGCTCCACCCTTTGGAACGACCGCTCCTTCCGAAATTGGGATTTTTGGCAGAAGCTTTGGAGCGACCGCTCCCATCTTTAGATCGGCCGCTCTATTCGATAGGAACGACCGCTCCAACCCATTAAAGCGACCGCTCTTGACCCTCTGTTTCATAGCGGCTTTTGATCTTTCTTTGATTTTCTTATCTTGCTTTTAATCTTGGCCTTTCATTTCTAATCCAAGAGTTATATTCAAGAACTCTAGGTTTTGTTTATAAAGCCCTATACAGGTTTAAGTTTGTTGTTTAGAAAAACTTTTCCTTAATTTTGAATCCCATGAAATTTTCTCTCTCTACCCATAATCTTTGTGATTATTTGCTATCTTTGGGATTGCTAATTTGTAATCTTTGTGGTTACACCTTAATCTTAGCTTTACTTTGTGTTGGCTTTAATTAAGAACCCCTATTTCATAGATCTTGGTGATTGTTGAGATAGGTTTATCTTGTTTTGTTGATTTGACATTGTTGTTAGTTAATTTTTCCCTCTTTTCTTGGTTGTTTCATATCAGATAAAGTACTAAAGTTCCATAGTTGCAGTTGCAGTACTCAAACTGGTAAACCCCCCTTTTACCTTGTATAACCAATGGCGGATCCAAGCTTCTGAAATGGTGAGTCACCATCAATTATTGATCACTTGTGAAAGTACAATTTTTTTTTTCTTCATATCTTGTTCATAATTAATTTCAATCAAAAAAGTTATATATAAATATATTTCACCAAATTGATTTCAATCCAAAATAGGACACAAAAATCCATACTACAACCAAATAGTACTTAAAAATTCAATCTTACAAGTCGAAATTACTACAAATAGCATGTTACAAACAAATGGTACTATAAAACTATTACATTAACTTTATGATATTTTTTTTAATTGATAAGTTTGGGGGAAAATATTAAAATTGGTTGCACAAATATAGGATATAAATTGAAGCAAAAATTATTAGAAATTTATTTTTAAAAAAAAAAGTGAGATAACTTAAGAGACAGGTTATTAAATATAACCGGCCTCTCTAATTATAAAAGAAAGCAGCGCAAAACTCATGAAATGCAATAGCAGCATCGAAGAGACAAGTTATCTAAATAATCGGTCTCTTTGATATTTAAAAAAAAAACATAGCGCAGCGCAAAGCTCTTGTAATGCAATAGTAGTAGCATCAAAGAGACCGCTTATCTATAATAACCGGTCTCTTTGATATTTTTTTAAAAAAAAAAAAAAAAAAAAAAAAACAACAAGTTTTTTAAATTGTTTGTTACTGGTGAGTCACGTGCACCACTGTGCACATGAATAGGTCCACCCCTGTGTATAACCGGTTATACATTGCCAAAAAAATGAAGGAAAATTAACTCCTTTAATTTCGCTCACTTTCTATTCCCTATTCTTACTCTTTTAGGGTTCTGTCATCATCTCCTTCATCGTCAACTTCAAATTCTCTCTCCTTTAAAAAACTTAAAAAAATCGCCCTTCCCCAACCATAGAAAAACCTTCACCCCCTGTTGGCCATAACACACTAGTTAGATCACCTCCCACCCACCGTCGATTCCTCTCTCTTTCGCTCCCCTCCCACCGTCGCCCTCCCCTCTCTATTTCATTTACTGATAGAAATATGGTGATATTTTAGTAGTTAGGAATTCGAGGTGGGTATGGTAGTGTTCATGTGGGTTCCGGTTTTGGTCCATAAATTTGGGTTGGACTCAGTTGATGAAGGACGACGTTTAGGGAAAGGGAAGAGAAAAGGATCGGGTAGGGAATAAACTAACAAGGGGAAAGAGAAAGGAGTTAGGGGGGGGGAGGGCTAGCGTTGGGAGGTAGTCTATGCGGTGGCCAAAGGTGGGTGGGGGTGGTTTTTTTAAAATAAAAATAAAAAATGTAAAAAGTAGTAAACGTTGCTCTAATTGTTAAAATTGAGTTAGATTATTGATTCTTATGTGGATATTATTGTATAAATTTTCATTGTGTTGAATTGTGGGACAATGGACTATAATGTTGGGAAGGGCCAACCTACCATAGAAGGAAGGAAAGTGAAAGTTTAAGGGAAGGGGGAAAAGAGAGAAAAAAAAATAATAATAAGTAAATCAAAATTATTATTTTAAAGGAAATCACATATTACCAGTTAAAGCGTGTAATGGCCGGAAATATTACCTTCAGTCACCGGCTCAATACCTTATTTGTAACAAATAAAACTTCAATTTCTTAATTGCTACTCTCACCGAAGTTCAGTACCTTGTGCTATTAAGTCAATTTATCATCACTATTCTGATTCATCATTCATATGGATATATATTTCGCAAATACACTTTTGAACTGATTGTATCAAAAAGCAATCAGTCATTCTGAACTACTATTACCACTAGCTAGGAAAGGGAAATCAGTCTTCAAGCTCATGTTTTTTCCTGTTAGTATTATCCTCAGGTGGCAGGGATACATACTGTAATATCTTTTCAAGCTGTACAGCATCCACCTGAAATCTCTCAGCAACCTCTTTTAGACCTAGAGGCCCATCATGCTCATCAGCCTTGCCTTGATGAAGACGCATTATATGGCGAAACTGAGCTACATTTAATGTCCCTGCAGCGACAGGCCTTTCCTCATACCGTCCAGTCTCAGGAGTCGTATTTCTAACTTTTGGCAAGGGCCTTTTAGGCTTCTGTACCACATTAGCCTGCACCATATGAGCAGACAAGCTTTACGTAAAGTTACATCAACTAAAAGCAGTTCTTCAAGGAAGCAACACCAAGTGGGTTGATAAAAATTAACTGATACATCAACCCTCTCCCTCCCCAACAAGCACAGAGAAGAAAGAAAAGGCAACAAAAAGCATTCTCAAGAGAAAATAAAGAATTTTGTCCTGTTCACTTGGGTGTCCTACAATATTTAGTAATTCACATATAATTATATAATCAATCACCCAAAGTCCAGACTCCAGAACTAGTTTTGCAATTCAAGAAAAACAACTCTGAGAAGGTATATATAATTTTTTTATGCCGTTTCCATTTTTCCTTTGGCAAGTCAACCTAGTCATGTGCCCAAAACATCTACACTAAAATGAGAAAGGTATGCAGAAATTCACACATTGCAACTTTTATCTACTATAGTTTGTTGCTGGCACAGTTAGCTACTTATGCTTCAGTCAAATACTTGATATACTACAGGCTAGACCGCTAGTCACCGTAAACCAAATGTAATCAACGTATTACGAAAATTCTACCATGTCAAAGGTAAATCATTGATCAGCTAGCCTTGTGGTGTTGGAACTAATTTGGTACACTTAAGAGCCATGATCACTTCGCTAAGTCGGGCAATGTGTGGAGAGCATGTCATTCACGGCATACCATTAAGCACTTGATTGTCCGAAATTTTATACTTCCTCAAGGATGCACAAGTATTAAGGAAGCAGGAAAGAGTGTGATAAAACCAAAATTCCATGTGAATTACAAACAAAACATAAGAAAAAGTTACAAAATGTTAGCAAGGGTAATTGGGTATTAAAAGTGTGAAAGGAGAAATTAGATTTTTTTTTTAAAAAAAGAATGTTGTTTAACTTTTTAAAAGGCAAACATTGCAATATTTTTAAAACAGGTGAAAGTATAGATTACATTACTCTTTTCTTCTATTATCAAGCTTGTATAACCAATGTGACGACTTTTAAGCATAGGGAATACGTCAAATTTTATAATAGGCTAAGATAAATTTTACAATGATTCAAGAAAATGAAAATATTAAACTAAGGGGTCATTTGGTTAAATAAACTAGAAAAAAGAATGCAAATCCATACCAACAGGGTATGGATTTGAAACCCCATAACAATGTGAAATTTAATGCCATCTTTTTTATTTATATATTGATTTTTAGAAAATATGTAAGCCCAATTTTATTCATTCACTATTAAATACTTTTCACATTTTTTTTAGTCTACAAAATGGAAGCTTAAAAGTGACACAAAAATAAGGAACAAAAAAAGCCAAAACAAACTAAACAAAAAAAAACATATCAAACCTGAACCCAAAACAATTCCAGAAGAGCATTTGACAAAAGCAAAATTACAGTTACAATGTCAAATTTTCACACCATAGTAATTCAACTAAAACTATGAAACCTACAGAATATTCAGTCCATGAAAGAACCTCAATTGCAAATTCGTGAAGTCCAAACTTTTACAAGGCAACTAGTCTATAGCTGACTACTATGCTGGAGAAGAAGGAAACTTTAACCTGTGATGGGTTGCCAACCCACCGTATATAGGAGGTAGTCGTTGTTCTTTTGCAACCTCTCTCTCCACTTTTCTGGGGATTAGGGTTTGTGTCTATATTAAAAAGGAATGTGAATCTTATGTAGTGACGTGGGCATGGAATTCTAGGGCGATAGGGTGGAATTGGAATCTCCCTAGTATGAGGTTCCATGGCAAAAATGCCCAAAGAATGGAATGGATTTTAACTCCGTTCCACCCCAATCCAATTTGTCCAACTAAAAGCCCCTAAAGGCATAATCAACAAGTATTATGAACTATCTTTGGCATTAAAAGGCATTATCCATATGTCAATTTTCTGATTTTACTACAATAGTAGCCACTCCTGAGCAATCTTGAAAGGTATTTCTACACAAATTAACTCATTTAGCAAGTCAACAAATCTCGAATTTAACTAATGCTATTTGTTAGTCTAGTTTATGGCATTTCATATACACTTACTTATGGAACCAGCTATAGTGAGACTACAAAGGGAAAAATGAAGTTGACCTTGCTTTAATTAGCCCCTTGGCTAAAAGTTCATCAACATGTAAGTGGCTTATTAGTCAGATAATTTAAATGAATACATGACAAGGTTGTATAGTGTTAGTGTTGATACCTCTTGTTGGACACCACCACATAACCCCTAGGAAAACATCCTCAATGTTTCAATCTATAATATTATTAAAACACAAAGGGACAACATGCTATCGCCATGTGTTACCATTCCCCCAATGTGATTTGGCGCCACGTCATCGTTATGTGTCACCCTTACATGTCACCCTATATATCATCACTCTAAAGTCTTCATATGTGTAACCTTCGTATTTAATTTTTCCGTAGAATGTAACTTCTAAATAATTGCACATTAAACTACAATTTAATTTGTAAGAAATCAATCATATACTAATGGGTGTTTCCTTGGATGCTATTTTTCTAGATTCAATACCAATTAAGTATTTATACATAGTAATATCTATAAGTATTTAAACTTAAGGTAACTTCAATACCCGGGGCATCGCCTTAGCCATAATCTAGTTATTTAACTATAACTTCCTCAAAACACTCCTTTCTAGTAATTTCCTCCCTGACTTAAAATATCTTTTGTACATGGAATTTAGATGCAAATGTATGTAACAATATTCATTCTTTATCCTAATCCTTTAGACTTCATGCTTTCATTCATCCTGATACAGTCCTCTTCTTAAAAGGAGGGTTTCCATAGAAAGACTAAGACACATTACCTCATTTTAACAATTTGTTAGGCTTTTGTAGAATAGCATACATGATCAAAGCAATGATGCACAGACGATAAATAATGGAATGCAATCACACAGGTGAGGCTGTTATGCAAAACAAATAATGGGATGGATCTAACATTTTACAAAACAAATTCACACATTCACACGATTGGATTTTAACCTTGATTGTAAATTATTTAGTTTAAGAACTGTATTTCTGACATAATATGACTAATTAAATAAATACTTCCTTTGTTCTTTTTTAATTGACATGTTCCACATTTAACAATTGATTTATTCAATCAATCAATCAAAGTCTTTATCCCATAAGTAGGGTCGGCTACATGAACCAAAAGTGATTAATCCCATAACTATACAATTGATTTATAGTGATTATAAATTATAATCATATGAGATCTTGTTAAAATCATATCAATATATCATTTCATAACATTAACTTTTTACCATTTTTACGTAAGGAAGAGTCAAAGATATTAACCATTGAACTTGTGCATCGACAAACATGATAAAAGAGATGTGCCAACTAAAAAAGAACGGAGGAAGTAATTTACTTTAGCTCTATGTTTAAATAAGCACTTTGATTAATTAGTAGAGTATCACTCCCTTTTCCTATAATAAGATTACCCGCCTTTCTTTTTTACTTGTCCAGTATAGACTACTCAATTTTATTTTAGGTATGGGACCATATTATTTTCCCCATGTACCATCTACTTGTAGTAGCTCCTCAATCTTCTTTCTCTTTGATTAAAAATTACCCACTATCTACAATCGCATCTAATTTTACAATTCAATCTGAATAAATCAGAACACTCACCTATAACAATTTGCATACAAAATCACCAAGAAAGTCCAATCCAATAGTTTACAATTTTGTTTGTTTTTTCTTACTCCGTTTTTGGCCTTTTTCTACTCCCACGTGCAACGTCAATTTTGACAAAAATAATACGTAACAATTGAAAGGTATTAAGTATAGCAAACACTGTTAATGGACAATAAGGTGAGAAAAATGTGATTTTGTTATCAAAACAAAAACAAAATATGGGTTTAATTGGGCTTGTTTGTGAAGAACTTTTCTATATTAGAAGCCTATAAAGTTTCCAAGCCAAAATAGCTAAACTCCCCAACAATCAAAAAGACTTCTCACTAGTCACTAGGATTTGTAAGACTCAAACTCTTAACTCAATAGATCTCCCTCATTGAGTTTGCTAAGGCAGGAGAAACACTTAACAGGAAATAGGGATGTAAAATTCTGTAACTAATAACTAGTGCTTCCAGGGTAATAAATGGATTAATCATAGCCTTTCTTGGTTAATAACTCGAGATCAGCTCGCATAAAGGACTCAACTTACAATTTGAGTTGTACGAACACAAAAAAAATACTAAAAGAACGCTTTTATGCCCAGCTAGGCGTGCACCAATCAGATGGAGACTAGGAAATGAATGCATGAGTTCTATATTCTTCAGACAAAGCTTTTTCCATGGGTCCAAATATTCCACATGGAGTTACTTTCAATCAATCAATCAAAGTCTTAATCCCATAAGTGGGGTCGGCTAACATTAACCAAATTTGATTATTCCGTGTAGTCATCGACATAAATCTTCCTTCTCCATCCCTTACGATCCAATGCTTCACCCTCATGCACATCCATACACTTCATATCCTTCCTAACTCCTTCCAACCAAGTCATTTTCGGTCTCCCTCTCCCTCGTTTAACCCCTCCATGGTCCCACTCTTCGCACCGGTGCACCCTCGGGTCTCCGACTTACATGCCCAAACCAACGCAAGCGATTTTCCCTTAGTTTATCTGCAATGCCTGCCACACCTACTTTCTTGCGAATAACCTCATTTCTGATTCTATCTCTTAGAGTGTTCCCACACATCCACCTTAATATGCGCATTTCTGTAACCTCCATCTTTTTAATGTACTCCTTAGAAGCCCAACATTCTGTACCACAGAGCAACACTGGTCTTATGGCAGTCCTGTAGAATTTTCCCTTTAGCTGTAAGGGAATGCTTCGGTCGCATAACACTCCCGTGGCCGCTCTCCATTTAAGCCACCCCGACTTAATCCTGTGGGTCACGTCTTGATCAATGTCACCATTCTTCTGGATGATCGACCCTAGATACTTAAAACATTCACTCATGGTCAAATCCTTTCCATCCAAACTCACCACTTCATTGTTTGTCCCCCTGTGAGTACCAAAACGACATACTAAATACTCAGTCTTACTCCGACTTAGCTTAAACCCTCTAGATTCCAACCTTTGCCTCCATTGCTCCAACTTGGCATTAACCCCATCCTTAATTTCATCCACCAAAACGATATCATCTACGAACAGCATACACCATGGAACCTCATCTTGAATTGGTCTAGTTACTTCATCTAGAACCGTTGCAAAAAGAAAAGGGCTTAATGCAAACCCTTGATGCAATCCGATTGTAATAGGGAAATCTTTTGTCTACCCTCCACATGTCCTCAATTTGTTGACACATTCCGATACATATCCTTAACCAGGTCCACGTACCTTCGTGGGATACCTTTCTTCAACATTGCCCACCAAAGTACCTCTCTTGGCACCTTGTCATAAGCCTTTTCTAAATTAATAAAGACCATATGAAGATCCTTCTTCTTTACCCTATAAAACTCCATCATTTGTCTTATCAAATGGGTTGCTTCCATAGTAGATCTCCCCGGCACAAAACCAAACTGGTTATCCGAAATGCTTGTGCATGCTCTCAACCTATGTTCAATCACCCTTTCCCACAACTTCATAGTGTGGCTCATAAGCTTGATCCCCAATCTTGAGCATCTCCTTTGTTTTTATAGACCGGGACCAAGGTGCTCTTCCTCCAATCTTGCAGGATCCTTGTAGTTGTCCATATCTTATTGAAAAGGTTTGTTAACCAATCAATACCAATCTTACCCAAACACCTCCACACCTCTATCGGTATACCATCAAGGTCAACCACCTTCTTAGGCTTCATCTTCTTCAGCGCAATCTCCACCTCTACTCTCCTAGTCCTCCGCACATACTCCATGTTGATTTCTTCATCACACACGGAGATATCTCGTATCACAACTCCATTACTTCCATTAAACAATTCATCGAAGTACCCCTTCCAAGACCATTTGGTTCTTATCTTTGACACACTTCACCATGCCAATATCCTTCCTTGCCTCTTGTCTTCTCTTTGTCATCTTACAAATGATCTTTTCTCCCTCCTTAGAGTTGATAAGCCTTTTCTTTACCTTGGCAAACGGCTGCCTTTGCCTTACTCTTAGCCTCCTTATACGCTGCAAAGGTTTCGTCACTCCTACATTTTCCCAAGGCTTGATAGCATTCCCTTTTTTGATTAATTACTGCTTTCACCTCTTCATTCAACCACGAAGTATCTCTCTGTATCGAGCCTCTTCCCCTTGATTCCCCTCAGACCTCTTTGGCCACTCTTAGGAAACAGTTCTTCATTCGTAACCAAGTCATGTCTGGATCCACCTCTCCATCTCAATCCGCCTCCTTAATTACCTTTTCTGTAAAAACCTTAGCCTTTGCATCCCTTAGAGTCCACCATCTTATCCTTGGCTCCTCTTGTCTTCCTTTTTTCTTCGCCTTCTCTTTCAAACGAATAGTCATTACCAAAAGCCAGTGTTGGATGACCACACCTCTCCTGGGATGACCTTACACTTTAGGCAACTTTGTCTATCCGTGATCCTTGTGAGCAGAAAGTCTATTTGTGTTGCATTTGCTCCACTCCAAAAAGTTATCAGGTGTGAATCCTGCTTCTTAAACTAAGTATTAGCCAAAATTAAATCATATGATTGGGCAAAAATCCATAATAGCTTCACCACCTGCGTCCCACTGCCCATACCCAAAGCCTCCATGGACACTCTCATAGCCATCTCGGCTCGCCCCAACGTGCCCATTTAAATCATCTCCAATATATAAATTCTCTGAGTGGTGGACACCCTGAACCACCTCGTCTAAATCCTCCCAAAATTGTCGTTTCTCTTCCGCATCCAAACCAACTTAGGGAGCATAAGCACTAATAACATTCACAATCTCCTTGCCACTTAGCAACTTCACCCTTATCAACCTATCATTCTTCCGATAGACCTCGATTACCTCTTTCGACAACTTCTCATCGAGAATCACACCAACTCCATTCCTAGCTCCACCATTCCTAGTCATGTGGCTTGTTTCTTGCCAACGTACCACACCTTGCACCCCAAAACCAAGCCTCGAGCTCCTCCTCCTGTCCATCTTGTCTCTTGGAGGCACATGATGTTTACGCGTCTTCTCTTCATCACTTCTACCACTTCTACTGATTTCCCCGTAAGAGACCCCAGATTCCTTTCTCCCACGCTCCTTCATACCACGCGCACTCGTACCACGCTCCCTCCTATTCCCAACCGCAAACCCTTGATCATTTGACACCACTCTTGGGCAATGTGGCGCATCGCTTTCGGGCGACGACCTAGCAACCCTTACATACTTATCACTGCACCCGGGTCTGGGAAGAGCAACGTGTCGCTCAGTAGGGAACGCCCCAATGGCACGCCCTTGCTCATTTGACACCACACTCGGGCAATATGGCGCGTCGCTTTCGGGCGACGACCTAGCAACCCTTGCATACCTATCACTACACCCGAGTCTAGGAAGTGCAGCGCGTCGCTGAGTAGGGAACGCCCCCACGAAAATATCAGTTTGGCTCATGTCATAGGATGTGACAAAGTTTTACACTGGCTGAATCTCTCTTAAACCCTTATGACTAAAGACAAATGTGCTTCATTCATAAACAAAGATCTCACATACATACATGGATCACTGCTTCTAGATACCTTTGATGACCAAGACCATGACAGTTTATGTTCTCGTACTTCCTATTACAACCTTGTTTACCAAACTAGCCACTGCCCTTTGTCGTCCTACATGCTTGTTAATGGAGATAATGGCTGTACATAATATTCTTCTTGGTTATGCTCAAATCTTCCTTAAGTTACATACAATTTACCTAATTGATGGGTCTCCATATTTGGTTGTTTCTAGCCATAGATCATCAATATGGGACACCAAATCTAAACAAGCACAATTTCATCCCCATTTTGTTCACTATAGTTAATCAAACTGCCGAGTTGATTGAAAAAATATGAAACGGCCTGACAAGACAATCAATATGAAATTCACAACATGCATCCATGCTCTACAATTTGACCCTCAAAGATCAAATACCTTTGGGCTATCAAACAAGGTTCATTAATAATTAAGCAAATCCATTAATTCCACAATATCATCCTGATCTGTGTGGCAAAGCCTATATAACCCTCTTTACCATATTTATAAAAGTTCGAGGAAAAAAAAGAGGTTAAAAGGTATCCTTCAAGGTTGACGAAGCAATAATTATTAAACTCTCAAAGAGACCTAAAGGCTTCTAGAAGGTGAGTAGGTGACTCATTAAGACACTTATTCTTAGAATTCTACTCTTTCTCCATAATTAGGTATTAGATAGACTAATAGAGCATGATATTTAGCTTCTACTTTCTAGTAGACACTCAAATTCAAATTACACCGTCATCTTTAGCTAGGAATTTCAAAACAAAAGAGAGGTGCATGAGGATGATTCAACGGAGTACACCTTTTTTTATGAGATGAGAGAGATTGTTATTGAAAGTTCAACTATTTAATTTCATAATACAGTGCAGCTACTCATGACAGATCAATATTTCACTATTGAAAACGTCAAAAACTTAACCCCTAACACCCCCCCCCCAAAATTAAAAAAAAAAAAAAAAAACGAGTATGTAAATGTGAATAATATATCTAGGGTAATACAACTCTACCCCAAAGTTTATGTTTTACCCCATAAATTTTCATAGCATCTCACAACTAATCAAAAGAAGTTAATGAGGGGATATTGAAGTTATGGAGAAAACAAATCACTTAAGCGCAAAGTTGCATCACCATATATTTACTACTCATCAATTCTAGCAATTTATACATAAATTCATTACAAATATTGTTATTAACTACCACCAACCAAACTAATTATGAAAGAAATAATGTAATCCTATCATCTTCAAACTTGCACAAAACCCGATGTAGCTATGTTACTCGAAATCTTCATTTCAACTCAAGTACATGTTTTTATTCCCGGTCTGACAAGGGCATGGACACTTTGACCCTTCATTTTGGTCTAAGCTCATGGAATATTTTTCAAAAAACAGGAAAATCAGACACTTGAAAATATACCCATGTCAATGAGAACCTGAGTCCAAGTAACATAGTCTAAAAGCACCCCAATGGCTTCCCAAATTCAGTCTTTAGACAGACACAGTACCAGTCCCGAAGGAGGCAAATTGAACTATGATCTTAGGAAAGCCCCATATACATTCTGCTTTAGAAAACAACTCTCTGACAAAGTCTAAACCCATGGAATACTTTCCAAAAAAACAGCCAAGTCAAACACTTGAAAATATATCCGACCAATCGTTCAACAAGGATAGTTCAAAGATAATTCCTTTGATCTTTACCTTTGTAAATAACAACTATAGAGCACAAAGATCACAAGTCCAGCATATAAGCAACTAAACATGTAGAATGATTTAAAAACATGTATCAAAGCCTAACCTCGCCCATTTCAAGCTTTCCACCAGGCTTAGAACTGATTTTTCCAACCATTTTATTGAGCATCGCTTCGTAGCTTGGATCTCTATCTTCCAACACTTCATCATTTCTTTTAGAATTGTCATCATCTACACTATACCAGGCTCGTCCCTGAGCCAGAGCAGGAGGGGCAGCCGCCCTCGGCCCAGGGAGAAAAGGTCCATAACTATAATTCCGTCCTAACAAAAACCTACATCCAGGCCCGTCCCTAAGGAAAGGCAGGAGGAGCGGCAGCCCTGGGACCAGGGAAAAGAGCTCTGATTTCATAGTTGAATCCTAACATTAAAGTGTTGTGCAATACATTAGCAACCAAATTTGATTCAATTATCTCATGATTTTAGGGATATTTGATTCAATTATCTCATAATTTTAGGGATATTTGATATGATGATAACAAATACAAACAACTTACCTCAAAAGCTGCTTCAATGGGGGATACAGGAACTAGATTCAATGGAGAACGGCAACTGCGCTTCAATGGAGCAAATGGGTTGGACGCCTTGGATCCTATTAAAAGCCCCATGACCCGTGACCCGCCGCATTTATTAATGGGTTAGATCCGTCTAATAAATAAATGGGATGAGTCTTCATACGATCGTCCAATTAAGGGGCAGGGCAGACCTTTTAAAGGTTTAGAGTAAACCTGTTTTAAAAAGTACGGAGTATTAGTTTATCTTTACACTTCCATTTCTCAAATACTATCTTCAAATACTATCTTCTCAAATTCCAGCTTTGTTTGTTTGTAAATTTGAAAACGGTTGAAATTACATTAATTAACCTGAGTTTACAACAAACGAAAGGAAAGTATGGTAACGTAAGTCAATTACAAGTTATCATGTCGTAAATGTGGTTAGGATGAGTTTTTCTCAAAAAAAAAAATGTGGTTAGGATGACTATTTAGTCGTGGCCATTATGGCAAATTGATTGTGCCATGTGAAGTGTGAACTATGCAATTGTATAGGTAGTGTTACCTTTGTGGTTTTAACATCAACTGACGGTCACCTACATTTTTATTATAAATACAGTTGCAGACTAGCAAGTGTAGAATTGTATGAGTTAGTTAATTGTATGAGTTGGCTAGTGATCTGTGTAAAACTGAAAATTATTTGTAAATAACTTTGGAAGTGAAAACTTTAATACTTTGTTTTTTAGAAAAAAAAACCCATCTAGATCAACCGAAGAAATTTCCAAAATGCAAGGAGGGATTACATCACTCCACACCCATTGGCCAAACTCCCATGGTTGAAAGTAAGTCAATTTGTGTGCTACATTATTACCCCCTCGCTTTAGAAAAGACCATGAATCACTAGTAAAATTAGAAGAAAAAAAATCTATAATATCCTTTATAATCAGATGAAAGGAACTGGAACTATACAAACACTTCCTCATTGCCTCAATCAACACCAGATTATCACTCTCGATCCCAATGCAGCTCATACCCTTGTGTCTCCAAATCTTCATGCCCCAAAATACCGCTTTCACCTCTACAATCTTAGTCTCTCATTTTGCACTTCACTACACCGTAGCTCCCCAAAGAACCACCCCCTCATTATTCTTGCAGACTGCACCCAGCCCCGTCCCCACCTCCCCCCAGCATCAACAATAATTTTAACCACACCAGATGTCGGAGGAGACCTACCCACAGCCATCCCTCCATTCCCCATGTTATTTAACTTTCTCACCTTTAATCTTCAAAGCATAGGCAACAATTTGCTCAACATTCGGATTTTCACCCTTAATCAACCATTTGTTCCTTGCGCCCCACATAGCCCAACACATGATAATTAAACTCACCGTATCCTCTCCAAAATTACCAAAACAGTGCTCTCACCAGTCACCCATACTACAAAGAGAGTGAGACCAATCCATAGAATAATTGCACTTACTCTAAATTGCTCGGGCTAAACTGCAATCTTTTAACGCATGCATGACAGATTCTTCTTCTCTCTGGCAAACACCACAAGCTAGTAGCCAGGGCACAAACTAGCTACAAAATAATTAGCTTTAAAATCTTATGTGGCCAAAAAGCTAATTTGCTAATTAACTTACTATTGGAGTTGCTCTAATACTCCATTTATTCCTTTTATTAGATACATTTTGACTTTACACCCTAGTATCCTAACCAGTCTAGCGAACACCCACCCAAACCCTAATTCTAACTCTCGAACCCCACTTATTTAGCGAACTCCCACCCAAACCCCAATTCTTACTCTCAAACCACAATTATGTGGCGAACTCCCACCTAGCTCTAACCTAGCCGATCGATCGAACCACACAACTCCCACCCACCCTAGTCGGCATGAACCTATGACCACCCGGCCCTCCACACCAAACTCGACACCTCAATCTTTTTATAAAATTATTTACTATAGTTAAAATTAAAAATAATTTTTTATATTTAAAATTATTATTAAACTATATATAGTTTTTAATTAAGTCAATTCTTATTTAATTGAGAGTTAATTATAGTACAAGTCAATTAATGACTTGTTTGACCGGTCACAAGTCAAATCTAGTACTTCAATTATTTATGGAATATAGACATCAATGTTAGACTTATTTTTTAATTCATTAAAGTTGACTTAATATTGGAAGATCACCTAAAGTTCGACTTATTGTGGTTATTTTTTTCATTGTTTTATTATATTAGACTTTCCTTTTTACTAATTATATGTATATGCATTTCTATTTTACAAAAATATTTTCCATACGAGAATGACAAAAAAAGAAAAAAAAAAGAATGGTGCATTATCTCACCAAGAATCTACACGAATTTTTTAGTGTGTCATTAAGTATATAGTGATTGAAATATATACTTATGGATTATAGATTGGTTATTATGTATTGATGATTAGTTATTTATTTAAGTAAATATAAAAATATGATATTTCATTATATTTTTTCTAACGGATAAATCACAAAAGAATATCAAAAGAGAAGTGTGAATGAAAATGTCCAAATGGTGCAATTAAAGAAAGGGAAAAAGTATTTAACAAATTATATAAAAGTATTTAACAAATTATATAAAATTATTTATGAATTAACACATTACATAACTATTTAACAATTATATAAATAAATGATTTTTTTAATTATCATTTTGCCCTAGGCCTCCAAAATGTCAAAAACGACTCTGCCTACATCACATTAGCAACCACGTTTGTCTCAATTATTAAATTAGGCTCGAAAATCATAGAAAAAAAATTAAATACATTCTAAGACCCAATTATCAAATTTAGCAACAAAATTGCTCGTTTTAAACTTGCATTGTGATACTTCAAAATTCAGTAATCATTCAGTAATTATAACCAATAGCTCAATAATCCACATTCACCGTAATTAACAAATTAAGCTCCATAAATCACATAAAATTATTTTCGCTTAAGAATATCAAAGTCAATTACACATAGCAAAAATCTACAACAAAATCACTCATTATAATCATTCATAACTTCAGTAATTATAACCAATAGTTCAATAATCCACATTAGAAGAACCCTAATTTGAACAATTAAATTAACATAATTGTAAAGCAACACCCTAGATTGAGAAATTAATATTCGATAATTAAAGAAGTTAAAAAATAATCTTAACTTTGAAGCTGCTGCATTGGAGGGAAGAAAGCTCAGAAGTCGTTTCATTGGAAAAGAGAGAACTTAGAAGCTGCTTCAATGGAGAACTCAGAAAATGCTTCAATGGAGGAGAGAGAGAGAGAGGAGCAACGTAAAAGTGAAGGCGAAAGAAAAAATGAAAATAGCAGAATGAGTTTTATGAGTAACACGTCCCAACTTCAACTTTTGTTGTCAGAAAATACAGCTTAAACGTGGTGAGTTTAGGAGGAGTGATAAACTGCTAACTTGGTGCCGTGGTGGTGAGTCCGATGACGTCGAGGAATTCTCAGGCTATAGTAACTTTATTTTTAATGACCTTTAGAGAAGGGTGTTTTGGTAATTGATATAAAATGGAAGACAAGGAGGTCAATAGTGGTCCCCCTTTGGTTGACTGTTTCATTTTTTTTGTTTAAAAAAAAATAAAACAAAAAGGAGAAAAAAAGGGGGTTTCAAAAGTTAAAAAAAAAAACTCTTCAGAGAGGAGAGAGAAAACATTTGTTCAAAGAAGAGTGAGAAGAAGGCGAAAAATTCATTTTCAAGGTTGCGATTTGAAGTTCTACGTTGGCGTTGTTCTTCGATTGTCCCTAATTCCAGTACAAGTAAGTGTTATTGTTCAATTTAATTGCGATTTATGAAGTTATGGTTAATAATTGGGATTGTAATTGGAATTATCATGAAAATGTCGATGTATTATTAATATATTGGCTGGTAATAGAGTTGAATGGAGTCGATATTGTCTCATACTTTGAAGGATATAGTTTAGTTTAATATAGGGTTTGGGGATTTTTTAATTGTGTGTGTTGGTACAAAAATGGTGGTATTTGGTATCAAAATATGTTAATTTGAAGTATGATTTATTATAATATTAGTTGTAACATTAAAGAATTATACGTTGATATTGAAGTTAGGGTTTATTCAAATTTAAAATGAGTGTCCAAATAAGAAAAAGGTATGGTTTTCTAATTGTTTATATATATGAGTAATAAGTAAGAATAATTTAGGGTTCTTGCTTAAAATATTGTGTTATTTTATTCAAAATGTAGTGTTTATGGAAGTTTGTTAGGGTTATGCTTAGTTGTTAGGGTTCGTTTATAAGGCTACACATACAATTGTTGCATGTGGTCCCTACATACAACCTTATTTTGACATGTTTTTATTGGCTACAATAATGGGCCCATGTTCCATTACAATTCAATTTATATTTTACTCTTAATTTTCCTTCTTTTGATGATGTGTCAAATTTCTAATGGTGTTGTATGTAGGGACAACATACAATGATTGTATGTGTACCAAATTTTATTGTTGGTATCTCCAGTTTGGTTTTTCGTATCTCTAGTATGTTTGTTTGTATCTTCTGGATGTAGGCCCTTTTTTGGTGTTATATTACGGATGTAATTTAGGTGTGCATAATTTAGTGTTGTGAGACCTGATTATGTTTAATATTTTTTCCCTGTTTTTTTTTCAGTATGAAAACTTCATGTGTAAAGTTGTTTTTGTTAGTGATAATGTTGGATGAGGATAGACGTCTGATTGTCGTTTGTTGAGCATAGCCTCATGAATTATGGAAGCTCTATCTTTGATGTGTGGGTTTTGATGACAATGTGTCATTTTATTAGCCACAAGCCCGGTGCATGTGCAGTGTTTGACAGTTGTTCAATTGTGCTATTTTCCAGTCTAGTTGGTAGTACTATAGTGAAAATGATATACCACGAACAACATTGTTGGTATTTATTTATGTGTTGGTATAATTAATATGCCTGTTGGTATCTCTTAATACCAACATAATTTGACCTACCAAGAAACAAACTATTAGTAACTACTTGACCTGCTTTTGACTTTTACACTATTTACCACTCCTCCTTTGACCGTCTTTTGTGAACAATATGTAAGGAAAAATATATTCATGCGAGATATTTTTGAATTCGTCT